CATGTACCTGTGGGAGGAGAGATGGGTTAAGGGGCACGGCTTGCATGTGGCTGACTCCAGTGCCTCCCCTGGCACCACACAGTCTCCCCAGCACTCCGGGATGCAGGCCTGGTGTTCCGGGGAACCCCCAGGACCTCAGGGTCCTCTCAATGAACCACAGGCCTGTTTGGCTGAGAATCCATTGATGATTCTGGAGTACCATTTATGAGCCTTCCCTGCAGCCAGTAAAAAAATCATCTGCCTGGTAAATGACATTTTTAGGATGAAGACTTTCTAACCGTGAATTTCCTGCTCTGCCTGATCTGGCCCTCGTATGGCCCTTCAGTTGTTTTAGGAGCCAGATCGTATCTGCTTGTTCCTCCTGCCCCCTTCCCAAAGTCTTGAAGAACAGGCTCTCTTTATCCACTCACCCACATCAGGGTTTTTCTTCTCTTTTTCAGGGTTGGGTGGGGTGAGGATGGGTGGCATTGTTGTGGTTTCTCCAAAGAGGTACTCAGAAGGCCTAGGGGCCCCTCCTCGTAATTCTTGACCAACCAGGTCTGCAGTTCAAAATAAGGATCTGAGGATGTCACTGTCTGGGGTGACCAGTGTGATCCTGGGGGTGCTTAGGAGGCTCCAGGGCCATATCCAGTGATGCTCAGGGGAACTCAGGGCTATACCCAATGATGCTGCCATGTCAGTCTTCAACAAAATATCGATTAGGATTTGGGCTGGAGAGACAGTACAGCGGGTAGAGCACTTGCCTTGCATGCTGCACACCAGAGTTTGATCCCCCACATTCCATATGGTTCCCTGTCATATGGAGTAATTCCTGAGTGAAGAACCAAGAACTTCAGAGCATCACAGGTATGGAGGGGGAAAAAAGACTACTCAGGGTTGAGGCTAGAGATCTCCAGCAATGCTCTCCTCAGCAGGCAGGGAAGGAAGTGGAAGAACACTGTTTGGACACAGTCCTTTCCCAGGAAACACCCAGGACACATTTCACTCATATCTACTAGGAGTCCCTGAGAGATGAGACACTAGTATAAGATTGGATAAAAGAGTTCCCACATTGTTCTGCCCCACCCACCTACTGACATCACCAAAAGAATCTTTTCTGTAGAACGAAAAATATTCCAGGGAACTAAGTTCCTTGATCCTGAAGATAATTGTTTTCTTTCAATGTTGAGACCATAATGCCAAAACTCATGAGTCACGGAAAGACAGGAGAGCAGTTAAAGGTACAAGCTGAGGGGCCAGAACGATAGAACAGCAGATAAGGCATTCACTGTGCACACGGCTGACCTGGGTTTGATCCTCGTCATCCCATATGGTCCCCTATGCACCGCCAAGAGTGAATCCTGAAAGCAGAGCTAGTAGTGACCCCTGAGCATTGTCAGATGTGATCCATAAAGGAAAAGAAAAAAAAAGAGTACAAGCTGAGAGTCGGAGAGACAGAACAGGGGTTAAGGTTCTTTTTCTTGCACTTAGCTGACCCCAATTAAATCTCCAGAACAGATGGTTGAACAGCACCAGGAATGATTCTTGAGCATAGCTGGTTAGGGCCCAAAATTTGAGGGGAGAGAAAATAAAGCTACAAAACTGGAAAACTGAGTTTGTAACATTAAAAAAATTACTTAACCTCTCTAAACTTCAGATTTAACAATAATTAAAAAATAATGTAAATGTAAATAACACATGTAAATAACAGTACAATACTACTAGTATTGGGGCTGGAGAAACAGTACAGAAAATAGGGCGCTGGCCTTGCACATGGCTGACTCGAGTTCGATGCCTGGCATCCTTTGTAGTCTCCTAAATGCCACAAGGAGTGATCTCTGAGCTCACAGCAGGAATAAGCCCTGAGTATCATCAGTTACAGCTCCTCTCAAAAAACAAATAATAAATAAATAATATCTCATTCGTTTGGCTGAGGTATTGCAGGTAAGTTATTTAGCAAAGGACCGAGCAAAACAGGACTCTCAATAAATGACTGTTTTATTACTGTTGTATTTTAAGTAATGAAAATATTAGGGAAAAATCATAGACTTGTGCGTTTATAGTACACAGAAAACAGCTGTGGTCATCCTCCAAATTTTCACTGGGGTATGAAAAAAATTACCTTTTACACACATATAATTTTTGAAACATCACCTGTACTTTTAGAAATTTCCTAAAAGGACAAAAAATAAGCCTCATCAATACATTTCATTTTTCCCTTTACAATGTTCACTGCAGGGGCTGGAGCGATAGTACAGCAGGTAGGGCATTTGCCTTGGACACAGTCAACCCGGGTTCAATCCCTGGCATCCCATATGGTCCTCTGAATATTGCCAGGAGTGATTCTTGAGTAACCAGGAGTAACCCGTCAGCATTGCCAGGTGTGACTCAAAAATCCAAAAACATATAAAATGATGAAACTATAAAAATTAAGGGCGTTCGCCTTACAAGCGGCCAACATGGCCGACCCGAGTTCGATTCCTCCGCCCCTCTCGGAGAGCCCGGCAAGCTACCGAGAGTATTCGATATGCCAGACACAGTAACAACAAAGTCTCCAATGGAGATGTTACTGGGCCCGCTCGAGCAAATCGACGATCAACGGGAGGGCCTTTACCTTACCTTTACCTTAAAGTAAAATAAAATGTTCACTGCAGAGCTGGAGCGATAGTACAGTGGACTGGGCATTTGTCTTACATGTGGTTGACCTGGGTTCGATCCCTGGCATTCCATATGGACCCTTGGGTCCCATCAGAAGTGATCCCTGAGTGCAGAGCTAGGAGTAAGCTCTGAGCACTGCTCGCCAAACACAAAAATATAAAGTAACAAAATAAAACTTTTGCTATTAATCAATAGCTCATATTCTAAAAAGGAAAATAGGTAAAGCCAATTGTTCCAAACTGCCCGAGTTAGTAGACTACCAAAATGAGTGAGCTATTTTTAATCAAACACTTGGCTCCTGGCCTTCACACTGAAAAAACGGACTCTATCAAGGCAGCGGGACTTGTGTTGCCTTATGCTCTGGAAACACACAGCCTTGATAAATAATGATTTTTTTCCTGTACCTTTAATTGGTCTATGTCAAACCTCACCCCTACCTAAGCATTTGAGGTTACCGTAAAAAGAGGGGTGTGGGGGCTGACAAGAACACCAGATACGATGTTTTGTTCCCTTTACACAGAGAACAAGACTAAGACAACAATTGCAATTCCCATTATTATTTATTTTGCTTTCTTTAGAGAAATATTTGAATGTTCTAGGAAATCAACCTCAAGCTTAATGCTCAGGGAAGGTTTCCAAAGTTACTGCTTCTGGTCCATCCTCGTGCGAGTAATTTTAGGTTGACTGCCCTCACTCTAAACCAGAATTTGCTCAGAGCCCCGTGACCTTACTTATCAAGCTATTTTCACAATTTACACTTCTCCAATGGAGACGTTACTGGGCCCGCTCGAGCAAATCGACGATCAACGGGAGGGCCTTTACCTTACCTTACCTTTACACTTCTCCAGGCGGAAGATGATCCACTGAGTTGTCTACTAAACCCCACCAAGAAATATCTGCTTCTTCCTGGAGGAAATCTGTGGACCATATAGAAATTTTGAACTATCTCTGCTCTGTGCTCGCTTATTTGGTCCTTCACAACTGACACGTGTCCTTGGGCTGGAATTCGTGCTACAGAATGCTCTTTTTGTTGTTGATGTTTTTTGTTTGGGGGGTACATCTGGCTGTGCTCAGGGCTTCCTCTTGGTTCTGCTCTCAGGAATCACTCCTGGTGCTGCTCCAGGGACCGACCATATGGGATGCCGGGATTGAATGCGGGTCTGCCATCACGGGTCTGCCACATGCAATGCAAGCGCCCAACCCCCTGTACCCTCTCTCCGGGCCCCTAGAATGCTCTTGGAGCGCTCAAGCTTGGCACACAGAAATGAAATAAACCGAGAAACAGCAAAGCAGTGAAGATAGCACTCCGTTAGTCCTTGCCCACGCCTCAGGTTTGGATTTCTCTTGTCTCTCAGGCCAGTCTGTTCTTGCCTTCTGCGCTATGTTCTGAACTTGAAATGTCAGACACTTCTTTAAGGGCAAATGAGTTCTTTTAAAATGTTTGGGGGTGGCATTTTTCTTTAAATGCACCTAACTAGATCACCACCACCCATCCGAACTACAAGAAAAGGTGGCGCGTAACAGATGTGCGGCGCGCTTGTGTTGTGTCCTGTGTACATAGGACACAGATCCCTTTTTGTTTTAAGAGCAGATGTTGGAGGCAGAGACAGCACAGCAGGCAAGGCTGCTGCTGCCTTGCACGGGGCCAACCCGGGTTGGATCCAAGGCACCCCATGTGATCCTCTGATCCCCTCCAGGAGTGATCCCTGAGCTCTGGGCCAGGAGTAAGCCCTGAGCAGCGCCTGGTGTAGTCCAAATAAATTTTTTTTAAAAAAGCAGATATTGCAAAGGCCTTTAGATACAGAACGTGAGGATAAAGAAAGTAACCCACGCCCGGCAACTTCGAAAGAAAACGTGTGAGGACGGACCCCAGTCCTAAAGCAGCTGTCGCCCCACACTGGGAGAGGCGCCAGCACGGATGCTCCAACCAACAGCTCGCCCTGCCCTGGGCAGAGCCCTGGACAAAGCCCCGGCCCCAAGTGCTCGTTTCACAGCGACACCCCAGAAGGCACAATCCTCGCCCCCACCCCCACGCCGCCCCGAGCCGCCGCCTCGGCGAGGGCTGCACCCCTTTCCTCTCCTTATTCCGAAAAACCGGGGTTGCCGTCGATGCCCAGGGGAGCCCAGACCCGGGTCCGGAGTCCGAGCGACCCGGGCTCACGCGCAAGGTCCGAAGGGGAAGGAGGGAAGGAAGGAGGGAGGGAGGGAGGGAGGGAGGGCGCGTTCCCCGAGCCTGCAGCCTCCCTCGCGTCCAGCGGGGCTGACGCCGGGCGTCGCAGAGCGGCCCAACGCCCGGGCCCTGCACCCCGAGGCCCTCCCGCGCCCCCCCGCGAACGGTGCCGGAGCGGCCGCCCCCCACTCACCCCACCACGGAGACCATCATGGCAGCCACCACCAGGTAGTTGGTCTGGTAGTAGAGCAGGTTTTTCACCACGCGGTTGTTCCATTTGGAGACGTCCGCGAAGTCGGGCCGCGCGAAGCGGTCGGAGCCGGGGAAGAAGTCGTCCCAGGCGCGCAGCGGCGCGAGGCTCACGTCCATGGCTCGGCGTCGGCTCCGCGTCCTGGACCCGGGCGGGCGGCGGCCAGCGACGCGCCGAGCTGCCGGGAGGGCGGGCGGGAGGGCGGCGACGCGAGTCCGGCGGCTCCGCGGGGGGGCGTGGAAGCGGAAGGGCGCTGGGCCGGCCCTTCCTTTCGATTGGCTCCGAGGGCCACGCTGCGGGAAACGGGCCGCCCGCCGGGCCGGGACCGAGGGCAGAGCTGGGCCGAAACGCAGCCGAGAGCCCGAGATCGGCGGCTGGGAGCGAGCTGGCAGGGACCTCCGTGACCGTCCAAGTGCAAACGACCGCCTTGGAACGCCCCCCCGCCCCCCCCCCCCCCCCCCCCCGTGAGTGCCGAACTTGGGAGTGTTCTTGACCTTAGGGGAAACCCCGGCAGCTCTCCAGCTGCCACTGTGTCAAGGAAATGGAATGGAAGGCGATCGCGTTGCTGCACCACGAGCTGCTTTGGAAAACTGCGCCGTTACTCACCTCTGCGCATCTGAATGCGATTCTCCTGTTTTCTCTGGTTCACCGTGAGTCACCGCGTGTGAAATCAGAGAAGCAAAATGGGAAGAAGGCTGTGTAGGATAGGACTGGCTTGTACTTTCACTTCTCTATCCCCTGGTGCCTAGACTACTGAAGCACTTGGCCACTGTCATAAATGGTACTGGGAGCACCTTTGCCCACCACTGGGCACTTTGTTCAAAATTTTCAAGCGAACCGTGGCCTGCAGTGAGCTAATTGTTTCGTACCGAGAGAGAGTAATTTTCAGCTCTTCGTACCTAGAGCTGAACTGTGGATTCCACTCCAAAAGAGCTTTCTTAGGTCTACCCTAATATCTGGGGACAGGGGGCTGGAGTGATAGCACAGTGGGTAGGGCGTTTGCCTTGCACGAGGCCGATTCCCAGCATCCCATATGGTTCCCTGAGCGCCGACAGGAGTAATTCCTGAGTGCAGAGCTAGGAGTAACCCCTGAGCATTGCCGGGTGTGACCCAAAGAGAAAAAAATATATATATCTGGGGACAAGTTTTACTGAGAGAGCACAGTCTTTTAGTAGATAAAATGTATCCCAGTCTTTTAGTAGATAAAATGTATCCCAGTCTTTTAGTAGATAAAATGTATCCCAGTCCAAAGAACTGCTAAGACATATATGTTGAAAATTCCCCTTCAAGGGTCTTTTCCCTAATGGATGGTTGGTACAGTGAACCTCCTTTTAGCTAGAATGAGGAAATAGTGCATTGGTTAATTTCCTTTTGTGGTAAGCAGACTTGTAAGATGTTAGTGTCTAAGATGAGTGTCTAAGCCTGGAAGTAGTTGCTGCTCCAGGCCCACTCTTGGACATGTGGGTGACCCATGGTCCTCCAGGGATCATGTGATTCAGAAACTATGCTCCTGGCCTCCAGCATGCAAAACTTACTTATTTAGTATCTCTTCAGCCCCAGTGATTGCTGTCTCTTAAAAACTTAAATTCGTTCTGAAAGCACCATAATTTTTAAATTGGAAAGTAATTAAAAAGTACACAGAGTGCTAAGTCTAGAGGTCTAATTTAATTTTCATTGATGATTCAAAAGTCAGTAAAGGCACTTACAATGACTGAACAATTATCTTGCTATTGAAGTTTAGGAAAGTTTGGTGATTGAATGAAATCAGTGTTAAAACATAACCTAGGGGACTGGAGTGATAGCACAGCGGGTAAGGCATTTGCCTTGCATGCAGAGACCCGGGTTCGATTCCTGCCATCCCATATGGCCCCCTGAGCACCACCAGGAGTAATTCCTGAGTGCAGAGCCAGGAGTAACCCCTGTGCATCGCTGGGTGTGATCCAAAAAAACAAAACAAAATAACAACAACAAAAAAACATAACCTAGGTGGTGCTTTTGGAAAAATGTCAGGGAGCTAGCACAAAGGGCTGTATGAAATGGTTTGTATGTGGGAGACCTGGGTTTGATCCCCTATATTGCATGGTCCCCTCAGCATCAGTGAGAAGCAACCCCTGACCACTGCCAGGTGGGGTACCAATCAATGTCAAAAGAAACAGGAAAGGTGAAAATGTCTCTGATCTTTACATTTTTCTTGATTCTAGTAAAAGGGAAAGCTTAATGTCAGTGAGGGTAAAATTAGAATCTTAGTTCTCCTATTTGAAGTGAGAGGCTTTGGAAAAAATACTTATTTCACTCCAGCCTGGGTTTTTTTATGTGTAAAGTGGGGTGAATAAGAATGTCTGTCATTTAGACAAAGAGAAATTAATGCTATAAAGAGCTTAGTGTATAGTGCTTGGTCACAGATATTTATGGTATTGTTATTAATTAATAATTGTGTAAGCCATGAGTCATCTGTATGGTATTAATAGTACCTTAACTTATTTGCAGTGTTTTTATAAATAAACATCTGCTGACTTTTTCTCTCTTTTTTGCAATTTTATTGTTGTGCTAGTATCTGAGTAGACTTGATAAAGGTTGAAATATTTTTGTTCAGTTTTGTTTTGTTTGAGAGACAATAACTGGTGGGGCAGAAGGATTTCTTCTGTCTCTGTGTCCAGGGACACTCCTGGCTAGATTTAGAGCACCACCTGGGATGCCAGGGATTGAACCCAGATTGGCTGTGTGCAAGGCAAGTGCCCTACCCACTGTACTATGGTTCTGGCCCCAAGGTTGATGCCAACAGATACTTTGAGTCCTCCCAAGATTCATGAAAACATTGTACAAGATCTTTAATTTTTATTTTAGATTTTGGACCATACCTGGCAGTACTCAATGGTTGCTCTTAGTTCTGCACTCAGGAATCACTCCTAGCAGTGCTCAGGGAATATATGGCATGCCAAGGATCGAACCCAAGTCCATGCAAGGCAAGGACCCTACCAGCTGTACTATTTCTCCAACCCCAAGATTTTTTTTTATTAAAGAATCATTGTAGAAGGTGTGTGTGTGTGTGTGTGTGTGTGTGTGTGTGTGTTTGTGTATGTCTGTGTCTGTGTCTATGTGTCTGTGGGTGTCTGTGTGTGTGTGTTTGCAAAGTTATGGAAAGAGTTTTAGATACAATTTCACAAAGATGTGGAAAGAAGTTTGGATACAAATTTGCCAGACCTGAGTACTCAGTGACCAGGAAGGTGTGGAAGAATTTCTGGAGGATTCAGAATTTCACTCAGCGGCATTGTGGGTAGTTTGAGTAAATAATCTCAACCAAAGCTGTGGTGGGAGCCGCAGAAGGCGTTCACACCTGTTGGAGAGATTAGTGAGCATTAGAGAACTGTGACTAAGAACTGTTATCTCCCGATTGCTCAATACTACTTGACCATAAGCTGTCAAGTGTGTGTTAGTAACAATATGATGACTCATTAATCATGGGCAACTAATATCTAGCAAATATTTATTCAGTGGGTCTTTATTTGCTTAAACTTCCAGAGAGGTTTAAAATGAAAGAAGGAGAGAGAAAGAGAGAAGAGAGTGAGAGAGAGAAGAAAGAAAGAAAAAAGAACAGATATAGTTACATATAACATGATTCTCTTTTCCAAAACTTTAGCCATGCTTATTTCTTTGACTACATGTAAATTTTTCTCTATGCATTTATGCCTGTCTCATAAAATCATTTTAAACAAAATTGAACAAAATGGAAGCTAAATAAAATGAGATACTTTATTTCAGGTACTGAAATGTTATTAGCCGGGGTTCCTTGTCATAATTCAATTAGAGGTGGTCAGATTCACTGTAGAGGCTTTCCTGGGTCTCTTAGACCCATATTTGTGCTTCTAGAGATACATTCACTGGATATTTATCAGTGTAGGTAAATCAAAGAGGGTAGTCTAATAGTTAATGATATAACCATTTGAAGTGAAAGTGCTCTGAGACACGTGATCTGGAGGCAGTGTCTCTTGTCATGGATGTGGAAACTGAACTCTTCAACCCATCCTCCAAACCCCATTACTGCCTGGCACTGACTTTCAGCTCAGTGAGTGTTATTGAATTGAACCTTATTAGGGGATAATAAAGGACAAAAGATTAAATAACGTAATTTATTCACAGACAATTTATTTTTCTGAGCATTCGTTAGGCTTTATAAATTCCATGTCAGTGGTTGCCAAGCTTCAATTTTGCACAGAATCAACAAGGTGTTACAGAAGGTTGGGGCCTGAAAATACACATTTGTTGCAAGTTTCCAAAAGATGCTGATTTGGCTAATCATAATCAGAGACAATATTTTGAGAACTACTGTGGAATTTGTTTAATTCTTAAACAATCTCACAAGACATTTAATATACTCAATTGACAAAGAAAGGCATAGAAATGTCATGGACATTTAGTGGATGGGGCTGGGCATGTAGCACAGTGGAATAGCACTTATTTGGCATGCATAAGGCCCAGGGTTTGATCCCCTTGCTCTGTCTTCTAAAAGGTGGATTTTTCAGGATTTAAACTATGACATTATGGACTGGAGTGATAGTATATCAGGTAGGGCTCTTACCTGGCAGAGCTAGAAGTAAGTCCTGGGTACCACTAGGTGTGGCCCCAAAGCAAAAATGAACAAATGAACTTCTGATATTAAATGTTCTATTATTATTCTCCAAAGGGATATGTATATTATGCGTTTTTTTCAGAGTATGAGTTAATTTTTGTTGTATTTTCCTCGTTCACTTGTTTTGCTTACTTATATTTTACATGAGAGAAATCATCCTGTAATTGTATTTTCTTTTCTTTTTTAAATTAACTAATTAATTGTTTAAATTGAATCATAGTGAGATAGCTACAAAGTTGTTCCTGATTGGATTTCAGTCGTAAGATATTCCTAAACCCATCCCTTCACCAGTGTACATTTCCCACCACCTGTGTCCCCAGCTTTCCTTCCACTTTCGTCATATATACATGCACATATATATACACATATATATCTTTTAAGTTTTTTTTTTGTTTTCCTTTTTGCTTTTTGGGTCACACCGGCAATGCACAGGGGTTACTTCTGGCTCATGCACTCAGGAATTACTCCTCGCGGTGCTCAGGGGACCATATGGGATGCTGGGAACCGAACCTGGGTCAGCTGCGTGCAAGG